ATTTCCAACACAATCTTATAATAATATAATATTTTATACTTTAGTTTGCATCTGCACTGAATACTCTTATAATAATGTTGATGTGTTTTAAAAGTAAGAATTTACTTCGAACATAGAACCACGGGTATAAAATCACAAAACGAACAATCGTAACTATGTACTGGCAACTAAAAGATGGACGCAACGGGGATATAAGATTTTTTTAGATCATGTTTAAAAGTTGGGAAAGCTCACTGTTCGGCCGTGCAAAATTTCTCCCGGTTTCTTAACTTGTTTTAGTACAACTCGATATTCCATATTATGCAATTTAAAATGACCTATTTTGATTGGTCACCTTTTTGTTTAGATACTTATTTTTTAATATGGGCTATTTGATTACTGTGAATCTATATTACATCGAATAAAACCTAGACGATAACATCTCAATACAAATTATCTCAAAGCTATAAGTACAGGTAACTAATGACGAACGGACAAAACGGGGATAAAAGGCGTTCTATGTCCGGAAATCTAAAAACTATGTAAATGCTAAGAGAGCCGGTCAGTCTTAAAACTACCATGGATATTATATGCGGGAAACAAAAATCGAAAGTTAATGGACCGATGAAAAAAAGCTCCGCAACTATGATTATTCGAAGACTATAAATGGCGTCGACAACAATACAACGGTCGGTCAAAAACGCGTCAAGTAAATCTGACAGTATAAAATGTAATATGCTACTCGGCATTTTATGAATATTATAAATAATATTCAAAACGCAACGACGTAAAGGAGCAGCGATAGTCTGCAGGCACTCGACGCTCTATTATTCGCATCCGGTATGCGTAACGCATTAATAATTAAAAAAAAAAAAACAAACAAACAAACAAAAAAAAAGTGTGTGCACGCATTCGGACGTGAATTATTATTATTAACGTGTTTAATGGAAAACGGAAAAAAAAACATATATTAAATTAAACATGTTGTACACAAAACATTATTATATCACCTCGTTGAGCGTTTTGTATACGACTGTGGGCAGCGACTTGAAAACAAAAAAAAAAACCATCCATGAAAATCGCTCTGCCGAACAGCTGTAGACGCGTTCAGCGTGCCTATAATTGGTGTCGTGGGTAGGTCACTGTAATGGGTGTTACAAAATTGCATGTTAAGATCAATCATTGTATAGTACGATGAAAAACTTCGGATTTGAGAGGAGACCCTGGTTTTTCTGAGTTAATTTCAATAAATTCTATTTTTAGAGGTTTGAGTTTTTGTTATACGGTGGTATAATACAATTATTGTATTATATGTACCGAGGTATACAATACAAGGTAGTGTTGGCCAACGATAGTATCTATAATAATATGGTATAGTACTGGTATAATACAAAAAATAAAATACCAAATTTTAACATATTCTGTAATTGTATTCATATTGAAATTCGTAATTAATTGTTCAATTGGTTGGTTATAAATTAAATTTTGTGTTTAACCAGATTTTGGAAAAATCAAATCGCTTATCGTGTTATATAATATCAACTCTAAGTTTAGTCCATACTAACTAAACAACTCTACTCTAACCTCTGAACGTTCACATTTTTTTTTTTAATTAGTTCTTTTGTTACATGTAGATATTGCCTTTTGATAATTTCCGTTTTGTATACTATAATAAAATTATAACTATTATTTACTATTTGATCACCTTTGTTTATGATCTTATAATTTTTGTTATAAGTAACCGGTACCTAATCTGGGTACTGTTCTAAAAATTTATAATAAACGACTTCGGATTTTACCTAATCTATCCGAGTAACCAATGGCAATACACAGCAACAAAAAAGTACTAATTTCTACTTTTAAAATTATAATCTGCAACCAATGGCCACCTTTTATAACAAATAAGAAATACATCTCAGCTGTAAATCACAAAATGAGAATTTTGAAAATTCTTTTTCTTATTGGTTCTTCACATCATAAAACAAAAGTACTCAACACATTTAATATTCATAACTTCAGTGGTTCTAGCTAGGCGATGATGAATCGGTCAGTCAGTCAGGAAAATTTCTTTTATATTTATAGATAACATGAATAACCATTTTAGGCCGTATTTCAAAATTTTCCTTGCCACCTGTATATCAAATTCTTGAAGCCAATTCACATTTAACTTATTTAAATTAATTGTATCATTACATTTTTATCGTTCATAATGGTAGTATAAAGAATCGGTTAAATCAGTACTTAAACCTTATTTGTTTAAAGACCTATAAAATCACCCAAATTGGAGTCAGTACCTATGGATGTCCCCTTAGTCCTTTAAATGCCAATATACTCTATACAGTATAATAACATAATAGTAATAATCATAATTAAATAAACTTTACATAAATAGCTCTCCTTCCATTAATTCAATTTCAACTCTTTTAGGCTTTTTATTTTATTTATTTTAAATTTACCAAATAAAATGTTTAATGGCTCACAATTGTTGTACTGCCGCGTTTATTAATTATTGTTTATATTCAATTAATGTTGAAGGTGTTTTTTAATGTAATAATATTGTACGAATTTACACTAATTTAAAATGTAGTTGATTTGCACCGCTCTTTACTTTTCGATATTAAATATTACGATATATATTTTGCAAACTGTAATATTAAATAATTATAAATAATTCACAAAATGGTACATTATTTTTCCAGTTTTCAGTCCACTAGGGATTCATTTGATGTTGGTATGTTCAATTTAAACGTACAAAGCTTGATGAAAAGTATTGCATTAAAATGGCAGCTGGTCTCTAAATATTACAATTTGTAACATATAACAACATTTATATAACAACATTTATATAATATATTTAATATATCGTTTAATATAAATAATATAATAATATGTCTACACATTTTAATGGAATCCCAAACAGTCGCGGTTGACAATTATTGTTAAAAAATTGACTTTTTTCGATTATCCACGACACTGACGACGATTAGATCATCGAATATATTATTTGTTCTGAATTGACAGTGAACATCGAAAAAATAAGATGACCATCGGTTATTAATATTATAACAATAGTTGTTCATCAGCCAGTTGCATCAATTCAATTTACGGATTTAAAATTATAAAATTAATGTTCAATCAGTTTAAAAATAAATAGATACATTTTTAAGTAATATTTGAGATTATGTATTTCTTTACATAATAACATTTTATAAGAAAAATAATGTTTTTGTCTTAATCATTTTATCTACCATGACACCGCCGGGTAATTGCAGTTGCCTCTCCCCAGCCCCTTAAAACCAGCCCTAAGCTGTTATTAACTTGACATGTGCTGACGTGTGCAATGACATGCGGATGTATCGAAAACCGTGTCGATCGATCATGACCTCGGGGGCGAGATGACACTAAGTGCAACCATCTGACGACGGATTTCCGTCATGTGAATTATACATAATATAGAGTGAAACACATTACCGAAATGTGGAGGAGGTGCTCACCTGTTTTGCTTGCCGATAAAATATTCTACCAACAGCATAATATTATCACAGTGAGAAAAAAAATATTTTAATTTGTTTTATTTAATCATATTTTTATCATGAACGATGGAACCTATACAAATTACAATTAGACAGCAAAAAAGTAAAATGAATTTTGTTTTGTTCGATTTGTTTGAAATAATTAATGTACAGTGCGTTTTTTTAAGCATACTCTTCCCCATATTGTCTCTTTAATAGTACATTTATTCAAATTCTGATTTTTAGAATTTTCAATTATACCCAAAGACTACATTTTCAAATTTCTGATATTTTTTGTACTATTTAGAGAATGTCATGTGGTGATATAAAATTCTATTTTTCAATAGTGACAACTACTTTTATTTACTGTAAATTATTTATAGTAAAGCCAGCGAAACTAGACGGGTGATTTAAGTGTATATTTTGATGTAGTTTCTGAGTTATTAAAATGTTACGCTAAGTAAAATAATCCTTAAACATTTTTTTTACACACATTTTAGAAATATTGTATGTAGTATTTACTATACTTGTTCCATTTTTACAAATTATTTATATTGATGGAACATTATTAATTAATTTTTCAAATATTACCATCGACATTAATTGTCTTAAGTACACCAAAGTTAAATGACTCAAAAACTACTATCTCTATTTTTGATTTAAATACATCAAACAAAATATGTGCTTAGTAAGTGAAAAATTTGGTTCTTTATTGAAAAACAGAAGTTTGTATTGTCACAGCATCATACAGTAAATTTTAACAAAAAAACAAGAATTTTAAAACCTTGTCTTTGAGTGTATTGAAAACTTCCAAAAATCATAATTTGAATAGATAGAATGTATCATTTAAGCATAACAATAGGCAAAACACTTATAAAGTCAAATTGTGTAACTTATAGCACAGTGCTTTATTTAAATGGATATAATATTTTTTTATTGGATTTATATTGATGGAAAAATATATCGATGGTGTGGACATTATATCGTTTATTAAATTATAATCTTTTCCTCTGTGATTAACTGTTAGGTATATCAATTTCAGTAGTCGATTTGAAATGATCACGATTTTAGTGAATAGCACTATAATAAGTACACTGAAAACGCATGTAAGATCAAGTGAAAACGATGAAGTACCGATTAAAATTGAAATCAACGTATAGCGTTTTACGACTTTAACGTGAATGTGTTTTATTATTTCCATTACGAAATAAACAATTTAGAACTGCGGTGACCATATTATTATTATTATTATTATTATTATTATTATTATTACACTACTTTGTACTCATGTACAGCACATTCATGTACCCCGTTTGCCTATACGATACGCCGTGTTACACAGAGAAAAAAAGAATAAAACAAGTTTTTTTAGAAAATGGGCATTATGAAACTGACGATAAAATATACGCGTGAATTGATAATAATATTTCATACAAAATGTAATATGAAAATATAATAAAGACTTACTATACGTATGGAAGTTATAGTAACTTTTTTTTTCTCTTTCAGAACGCTGGTGTGCATTTGTTTTCGTTTTTTGTCCTGTTATTGGGATCCGCTGTATTGCTCGAAAACACCACGACGGGATCTGGAATCGTATCGGAGATCAGAGAAAGTATGATGAACTTGATAATGCAATCGCAAAATGAATACGCTTCAAACACTCTGAACATGATCCAAGAATCTGTGAGTAAAAAAAAATTGTACATTTTTATTTTTTATGTTTATTAACAATTATTATCATTAAGACTCGGATTGTGTCTCGGACACATTATACCTGAAATATTATTATAGGTATATTGATTAATGTCTATTATTCACCAGAAAATCTATTCTACTGTGTAAAACAGGAAGACATGACAAATGAAATAACTTTTGTTCACATTAATTTATTTATTTTTATATTATTAACAGAAGCTCACCTAGGCTGTATAAAACATTTTATTATTTTTTTATACTGAAAATAAAAAAAATTTAATCTTTTGAAAATTTAAAAATAAACAAAATTTGGTTTTTGATTGTAAGAAAATTTATCAGTCAAGTGGTTTATTTTTTTATGATTTTTAAAATAAATTTTTAAATTAGATAACTTTTTTTTAATAACTCATTCCTTCGGAAAGTACAAATTTTCAAAAAAAATATTTGTATTTTAACAAGTATAATTTTAACAATTTTCATAAAATGTTTAAAAAAGTTTATACTTTTTGAATTTTAAATGTTTTTTTTTTCAACTGGATAAACCATATTCAACAAAAATAATAAGATTTCAAAAAAAAAAAATGTTAAAACATTAACTATAATATAGTTATGTTATATTATAACTTAAATAGATGATTTTACGATCAAAATTTTCTCTTTAAAAATGTTTAAACAAATTTTAAATATATTTTAATCTATGAACTATGATTATATATTATTTTCTAACTATCTTTCTAAGTGTCCTGTAGAGGCGTTGCCAAAGTTTAGTTTTATATTATAAATATATTTATAGAAAAAAAATATATGAAGTATTTCTACTAATTTACTATTATAACAATAGTAATAATATAATATAACCAATGTGTGAGCACTAAGACTTTCTAGCTTCCTATTTGGGGAAAAAAAATATATTTCACCACCCTGCATTTCTTAAGAAATTTATTGGTGTACATTTTTATTGAAAACGGTCAGCTGTTTTTTGGGCTATAACTTCGAATAAACCAAAACGGGTTAAATATATATTGACGAAGTATCAAAATTATAATTTAAAATTATTTTATCTGATCAGTTATATCATAATTGTATAACATGTAACATGTGGCAAGTGTTTATAAAGGGGAAAAAGTACTAATTTCTAATGATTCGCTACTATTACTATATTGTTATAATATTAAGGAAGTAGTAGTTTTCCGGACAACTTTTCCAATTTTTCATTCAATTTTTCATTCCGTAAAAATATCATTTGGAACACTATAAACATTTTTTAAATGAGCCAAATCGGCCAGTCGTTCTCAAGTGATCATCTGATTTTCATTTTATAGATTATTCACCTTTACACATTATTCTGTCATTATTATTTTTTTTTATAAATATATTATAATATTAAAGTTATTGCACTAAATCATGAATTATTTTGGACAACGTGATGAGGTATTTCTAGATATTGATTCATATTATAGTTTTTACTATTGTCAAATGACGTCATACGTTCATTATAATATCTTTGTGTATTACTCAATATTTTTATAAGAATAAAATAAAAAATGACATTTTTTTTTTACTTTTTTTTAAACGCAATAAAAGAAAAATATATGATAAAATACACTGTATATCTTCAAAAGCCCGAACAATGAACAATATTTCGATATTAATATACCTGTCCCGTATGAAAAATAATTATTTCCGTTGAACATCATATGTATATGTTTTCTAACACAAAGGACTGCAAAGTTATCCGGATGAAACTAACAATAAAGAAATATATTTTATTTCTGCACTATGACCTAAATCCAAACGCAAATCATATGTATTTATTATTGTAGTTAGCTTCACTGTTTCCAGGGTTTTATAAAACTGACATTGATTGAATATTAAAACACATTAAAAAAAAAAAATAATAATTCAATAAAAATAAATTGAAAATATGATTTAATGAGAAATAAAACCAAATCAAATGAATAATTCTACTCACCAATGTACACTAAATACTTCTTCTTTTTACCGCCGTAAATAAAAAAATCATTTTATCTAATCGAAAAAATACTATATACTATTTAGGTATGTATTTTTTAATCCTGTCCGTTTTATTTTATGCGTATTTCTCTTTATTAGTCGATTAAAATATTTTAATACAAAAATACCATCATAATAATAGTAATAATAATAAAAATACATTATTGTATATAACATACATTGTTTGTATTGTTTGTTGATACCTGTTCTTATGGTTCTACGTATTTTTTAATTAAAAACAATTTTACGTTATGGCGATTCATCAGAGTATGTTATTAAATCAATTGTTCTACTTTTAGTTTTTTATGTAATTAAAATAATATAACAATATTATTTTCCGCATATGAATAATATGTTTAACAATTCAAATTATTCGTATCAAATTACATTATTGCACATATTTAAACTTGAGTTATATTGTCAACCTTTATAATAATATATATTAATACTTAGAACAGTTGTGAAGTATAAACGAAAGGAATCTTATTATATTATCATCAGACATAAGAATTCTGTAAATACTTTTTTTAAATTTGAGTCCTGCCTGATATCAAGGTTCAATTTAATTTTTATGTGAAAGCTTTGACAAAAAATAAATGTCTCAAGTTAACAGTGAACTACATTATATTACATTGTTACTAATAGTCATTGAAGTCAATAATTTTGAGATAAAAAAATAAAAATAAAAAGTGTAAGGTAAATGCAATTTTAAAAATGTTTTAAAAGTAGGTATTGATTTTCCAATAAAAATATAACCTCCCCATTTATTTATTTAGTAGTTTTTGCACTCAAAGTATGATTTTTGGATTTTTATGTGTACACTAAAATATCATATTTTTAAAATACTTTGACCTGTATGTAATTTAAGAAGTATGGTGTAGCAATACAAACATATTTCTTTCAATAACTGTCGACCACCACTTTTCCACACATTTTGAAGCAGAAGACTTTTTCGAAAATGTCATTGAATTTTTTATTCGAACTAGAAGTTTTATTCCGAAAATGGGAATTCCAATCAATTCTTTTTTAAATGCAGAAAAATGTGACGCAAATCAACCTGCATTACGCATATGCAGCTCGCCATGAGTGGTATTTTAAGGATGAGTACTAACGAGACTGGACCAGCTCTGCGTATGATAGTATAATACACAGTAAAACCAACTTCCGGGTATGAATAGCACGCGTTGAGAGGAACTGCTACATCGTAGCAAAGACTAATAGTTTGAGTAAACTGCCATTAACTTGATGTGACAAGGTGTCTAACGAATCTCTTATCAGTTGTGTAAACAAGAAACATGGTACAGAGAAGGCTGTGGTGGCAAGTGGGGGAGTGCAGGTGATAGAAACCGTCGACTGTTGACCAAAAATCAACACAAAAATTAAATGTATGAACTGATGATACAATTCGTTTAATCACACTCGACGCGCATGGTGTGCTTGCTCCGATTTGCATAGAAATATCTATTTACACCAACGTATAAAGAAGAGTGAGTACGCGTTATTCTTTATTTTTCTATTTTTAATAAAAAGTATAATTCACAGTTCGCATGAAATTGTTTCGACATAAAAATATTTAAAACAGCAAAAACGACCGAGTTCTTACTTCCAACGCTATTTCGTGAGGCTTAATGTCTGTTTGATTGTTGAAAACGAACACAATAACCCTACTAATATTCCAATTATATCAAAAATGATACGTATTTTAATCCAACATGTGGATGTCATCGAATTTTGAAACTAATTCATTGGCGTTTTGGTGCATTCCAAATTTGTAAGTACACCCGGTGGGTGTAACATTATGGGATCCAAGTGTTTCTCAGGCAATCCCATAAATACGGGTGTGTGGGTGTTGACAGGAGGAAGATAGTACATTGGATCGGTTGGTATAACATAGTATGTGGAGGGGGGGTGGGTCACGTAAAATTATTTGAAGAACACAAATTAGTTTTTGATATTAGCCACTTGGTACACCTGACACCTGTTCACTGTAGCGCACAAGATCGAGTAAGTGGATACGTTATTCTTTATTTTTCTGTCTTAAACGAAAAAGTATGATTTACAGTTCGCATACAACGGTTTAAATATAAAAATATTTAAAACAACAAAAACGACAGAGTTCTCACGTCCAAGGCCAGTGCGTGAGGTTTAATGTCCGTTCGATCGTTGAAAACGAGCACAACCCTACTGATATTCCAATTTTCGAAAATAATAATACGTATTTCATCCCTACCGTGCAGCGGATGTAATAAAACGTTGAAATTAATTCCGTCGTCATTGGCGTTGCGCGCACTACGCATGCAAAATAATTATATTACACACTATTTATCGCTATGAGTTGTTACAACGCATATAAACCGGGATACCTATGTATGTATACCTATGCATTGTGCATGTATATACGAGTATATAGTTACGGCGTATGCGACACCGTGTTCGGTGAAATGCGACAAGAGTGTAATTATTTTATTAATTATTTTCGATAGCTAGATGTTATTAATTTTCGAGTTTTCACGGAAAATATTAAATTTTAATCCTGCCAAACAAACAGAAGCACGTGGCCCCGACGAGACCACGCCCGACGCTGATCCCTTCCCGGTCCCTCACCCGACCTCGACCGCCGCCAGAAACACACATCACCGAAATGTCCACGAAAGCTGCTGCTGCTGCTGCTGCTGCTGCTGCTGTTGTTTTACACGGCAAACACATTCCGTCGGTGCGTGTGTTGTGTATCAAAAACAACGCGATGACGTAAATAAACCGAAATCGCCCAGTATATAATGTGTAATACTGCACCTATACACGGGTGGGTGCTTAATTTTAACAAAATCAAAACGTAATCCGATAAACACACGCCAAGCGACATTTTTCATCGATAACGAACGACCAATTAGCAGCGAGGCAATTCGATTTTACCAACAACGTTAATACATCTATGCACACATATACCGGCAGCTCGAATTGTGGTATATACCTAG